ATATACATATATTGTGTATATTATGTATACATATATACATTTATACATATATAAGTGTGTATATATATACTGTATATGTATATATATATATATATATATATATATATATATATATATATATATATATATATATATATATATATACATATATTTATGTGTGTGTGTGTGTGTGTACACATATATATATGTATGTATGTATGCATATATACTTAGATGTAAATACATACATCAACGAGCCGTGGCCAGTAATGCAATGGCCCGGTATGGCCAAGCTCAACTCCCGTCGTAGATAAAGATTGTTCAGAGTGTACAATCATCATGTTTTTCTTCTTTATATTTTTAGCTAGATATTTTGTTGATTGTAATTTCAGTCATTTAGATTAAATTAAGCATCTTAATCTCATAGCATGTCACGTATGAAATAGATCGTGGCCACTTAATTTAATTTATTAAAGTAGTATATTCAATCTCTGTCTCAAAATGATTGGGTAGTTAATTTAATTTCGTCTTTTCCACTTATTCAATATGTTTAATTTCTTATGATCAGTTTCTAATGAAGAATTAATTAAAATACACACATTAATACCTATTCTAATTACGGAAACATTTTAAAGTCGACCTAATCTTGTAGACTTTAATCCTATTCCAATCAAAGGAAAAACAAACCTGTGAAAAATACGTAAAAAAAAAAAAAAAAAAAAAAAAAAAAAAAAAAAAAAAAAGAGCGGAGGAGTGGAGGAGCGGAGGAGTGGAGGAGTGGCGCCGGTGGAAGAGAGAGTGAGCTCTCCGTTCACCACCTCATCACCAGCTCACGCGCAGGCGGAGCAGTACCGGTCGTGGTGTCGAAGCAAGGCGCTTCGAACTCGGTGGTTCAGTAACAACCAACAAGACCGTGATTGACTGTGTTGGCCCTCTGTCGAAAACAAACCGCGGTAATCAGTTTCTCTTCACGATCGTTGACAGTGCTACCCGTTACCCCGAAGCAGTGCCTCTCAGACGAATTACAAGTAAAATGTAGTCAGAGCACTAGTAAAGTTTTTTTTTTTTTTTTTTTTTTTTTTTTTTTTTTTTTTTTTTTTTTACTAAAGTGGGTCTACCTTCGATTCAGTCGATCAGGGGTCGAATTTTACCTCAGCTTCATTCCAACAGGTGATGCGTTCCTTAGGTATCAAACAGTATAAATCAACTGCTTTTCTTCCAGTCACAGGGGGTGGTGGAGCGATTCCCTTACACTTTGAAAACAATGATAAAGTTCTTTTGTCTCGAAGCGGGGTCAAATTGGGATGAGGTCATTGATTTGCTACTTTTTTCTGTCAGGGAAAGCGTTCAGGAAAGCCTAGGGTTTTCACCTTTCCATCTCATTTATGGCCACGAGGTCCGAGGACCACTTAGTGTTAAAAGAATGCTGTCTTAATGAAGAGATAGTGGTGCCTGTATCTACATATGTGGAAAATCACAAGTGTAAACTGAAAGCTGCTGTCACTCTTGCACATAAACATTTGGGTAATGTACAGAATACGATGAAAAGTACATTTGACAAGACTAAAAAGGCTGAGGATAGAGCATTTAAGGAAGATGAATTAGTTTTGGCTTCACTTCCTATCCATAAGCAGCCTCTTTGCTCAAAGTACCACGGTCCATTTCGTGTACTGAAACGTACTCGTGAGGTAAACTACATCATTGCAACTCCTGAAAGGCGAAAGAAAAAGCGTCTAGTGCATGTTAATCTCTTAAAGAAGTATAATTCTCGTGAAGATACTGATGCAATTGGAGATAAAGCAAAGACCGTAGCACTCATAGTAACTAATACTTGTGATGTCAGTGAAGGGAATAGTGACAAAGAAGGCACACATTCTATTGTGGAGCCTAATCTCAAAAACTCAATAATTCTAGATAACCCTGAGTGTAAATTAGTTCATCTAGCAGCAGTCGAAGCAGCCAGCATCACCTCCTTTATACAGGAGCATGACATAGAGACGACAGGTGCACAGCCAATTCCACAAGTACCGTATCGTCTCAGTGGTGATGAGAAAAAGTTTCTTCAAGCTGAAAGTCGACGCCTCCAAGACCAGGGTCTGATTCGTCCAAGTTTAAGTCCATGGGCATCTCCAGTTGTTCTTGTTCCAAAAGAAGGTGGGCCATTTCGTCTAAGTATTGGTTACAGAAAAGTTAATGCAATAACGATACCCGATTCCTACCCTCTCCCAAGGATGGACGATATAATAGACGATCTCGGTAAGGCTAGGTATCTCTCCAAATTAGACCTTTTGCAGGGTTACTACCAGGTGCCCTTCAGTGAGAGAGCCAAACCTATATCTGCTTTTGTCACACCCTCAGGACTTTATGAATTCACCGTTCTCCCATTTGGAATGCGAAACGCCCCTGCAACCTTCCAACGGCTGATGAACTTCCTAACTGCTGACCTGGAGGGTGTAAGATGTTACCTTGATGACCTGGTGGTATGGAGCTCATCGTGGGAAGATCATCTTGTTCGACTTCGCGCCCTGTTCTCCACTCTCGCTGAAGCTAACCTCACTGTTAACCTCAAGAAAAGTGAGTTCGGACACGCCCATGTCGTCTTCCTTGGCCATGTCGTGGGTCAGGGTCAATTAGCTCCTGTTGCAGCGAAGATTGAGGCTGTTCAGAAGTACCCAGCTCCCTCTACACGGAAAAGTCTGATGCGATTTATCGGCCTGGCTGGTTACTATAGGAGATTCTGCAAGAACTTTGCTCATGTTTCTACTCTCCTTACGGACTTACTCAGTACTAAGAGGGCTTTCAAGTGGTCGCCGGAATGTCAAACACAGCTTTTGAAAATTTGAAAAAACGTACGACAAATGTTCCAGTGCTGCAAGCCCCTGACTTAAAAAAAACCGTTTAGTATTCACGTGGATGCCAGTGATGCAGGAATTGGAGCAGTGCTGCTTCAACCCGGCCCGGTGAAG